CAAGAGCAGCTGCCAAGGTAGCAGGGGAGGGAGAAAGCCACTGCATCTTTAATGCGGTGGAAAACATTTGAAACTCTTCACTACAGATTAATAAGTAAACACAAGTAACATCACACTTATCTGGTTTACTGAGTATTCCATCCCTTTCACAGACTATAAATTTGAAAAGAGACTTTGATTCTTTCATAAGGCGCTATGAGGTTGAGAGAGAGATAGATGCTAGCCACACTTTGTTGTTGTTCTTACATGCAATCGAGTATGTTGTGACTCATAGCAATCCTATTTGTTGTTGTTACTGTTAGGTGCTATTGAGTATGTTCCAACTCAGAGCAACTCTATGCACAACAGAATGAAATATTGTCCAGTTGTGTGCCATCTCACAGTGGTTGCTGCCACTGTGTCAATCTATCTAGTTGGAGGTCTTCTTTTCTGCTGAACTTCAACGTTATCAATCATGATATCATTCTCCATAAACTGGTCCCTCCTGACAACATGTTCAAAGTATGAGAGATGAAGTCTCACCATCCTTGCTTCTTAGGAGCATTCTGGCTGTACTGCTTCCAAGACAGATTTGTTTGTTCTTCTAGCAGTCCATGGTATTTTCAATATTCTTTGACAACACCATACTCAAATGCATTGATTATTTGGTAGTCTTCTGTACTCATGTCCAACTTTCCCATGCATATGAGGTGATTGAAAATATCATGGCTTGGGTTAGACACACCTTAGTCTTCAAAGTGACATCTCTGCTCTTTAACACTTAACAAAAGAGGTATTTTGAAGCAGATTTGCCTAATGCAATATGTTGTTTGATTTCTTGACCACTGCTTCCAGGAGTGTTGATTGTGGATCCAAGCAAAATGAAGTTTTTGACAACTTCAGTCTTTTCTTCATTTAGCAAGATATTATATATTCATTCAGTTGTGACTATTTTTGTTTTCTTTACACTGAGGTGCAACCCATGATGAAGACTTTGGTCTTTGTTAGTATTTTAAATTATCTTTGCATACAGCAAAGTTGTGTCACCACATGTTGCTGTTGTTAAATACCTTTGAGTTGGTTGCAACCCATAGCAACCCTGTATAGGGTTTCTGAGGAGCAGCTTGTGAGCTTGAACCACCAACCTTGTGGTTCAAACCAACTACTTTGTAGTCCAGCACATTAACCCACAGCACCACACCAGGACTCCATGTCACCAGCATACAGCAGGTTATTAATGAGTTTTCCTCCAATCCTGATGCCATGTTCTTCTTCATATAATCCAGTGTCTCAAATTATTTGATCAGCATACAGACTGAAAAAGTATGGTGAAAGAATGCAACCCTGGTACACACCTTTCCTGGTTTTAAACCATTCACCATCCTCTTATTTACTTCTAACCATTGCCTCTTGGTCTACATACAGTTTCCATGAACACAATCAAGTGTTTTGGAATACCTATTCTTCATCATATTATCCAAAGCTTGTTATGATCTAAGCAATCAAAAGCCTCTGCATAGTAAATAAAGCACAAGTAAACATCTTTCTGATATTCTTAGCTCAACATCCATCTGACATCAGCAATCATACCCATTGTTCCACATCCTCTTCTGAATCCGACTTGAATTTCTGGAGCTCCTTATCAACGTACTGCTGCAACTGTTTTTGTAATATCATCAACAAAATTTTATTTGCATGTGATATTAATAATATTGCTCAGTGATTTCCAAATTACTCTGGGCCACCTTTCTTTGAAATAGGCACAAATATGGATCTCTTCCAATTGGTTGGCCAGGTCTTCCAAATTTCTTAGCATAGACAAGTGAGTGCCTTCAGCTCTGTATCAGTTTGTTGAAACATTTCAATTTGTATTCCAACAATTCCTGAAGCCTTGTTTTATGCCAGTGACTTCAGTATAACTTGGACTTCTTCCTTCAATACTATCTTCAGGTCTTTGAACATTTCATAATAATACTTTAGTTTGTCTTCTCAAGCTTCCTGTTGAAATGTACTGTTCAATTCTTTTATTCATTATTTCTTCTAGTCACTTTAGCTTCTCTACATTCAACAGCAAGTTTGAGTCTCTTCTGACATCTATTTAGGTCTTTTATTTCTTTCCTGTTTTTTTAATGACCTTTTGCTTTCTTCATGCATTATTTTCTTGATGTCATCTCACAACTCTTCTTGTTTTCAATCATTAGTATCCTATATATCAACTCAGTTCTTGAGATGGTCTCTAAACTCAGTCGGGATATACTCAGACCATATTTTGGCTCTGTGGCATTATTTTAATTTTCTTCAGTTTCAGCCTGAACTTTCATGTGAGCAGTTGAGGTCTGTTCCACAGTCAGCCCAGCCTTGTTTTGGTTGCTGATACTGAGCTTCTCCATTGTCTCTTCCCACAGATTTAGTCAATTTGATTCCTGTGCATTCTGTTAAGGGCCACTTATTTTTCACCATTTATGTTTTTGGAAAAAGATATTTGCAATAAGTCATTGGTCTTGCAAAATTCTTCAGCAATTTTCTCTCCAAGCCCATATTTTCCAACCACTTTCCTTCCTCTTTGTTTCCAACTTTTGTATTCTAATAGTAATTATCAATGCATCTTTGCATGTTTGATCAATACCAGACTGAGCATGTTGGTAGAATTCTTCAGTTTCATCATCATTGGCTTTAGTGATTGGTGCATAAATTTGAATGATAGTGGTATTAAGTGGTTTTCCTTGTGAGCATATAACTAATATCCTATCACAGATAACATTGTATTTCAAGATAGATCTTGAAATAGTTTTTGATTAATGTGACCATCTTTAATTTTTTTCATCGAATAGTATACCATATGATTATCATACTCAAAATAGTAAATACCAGTCCATTTTGCTAACTAGGATATCAATCTTTATGCATTCCATTTAATTTCTGACAACTTCCAATCTTTCTAGATTCATACTTTGTACATTCCATGTTCTGATTACTAACAGATGTTGGCACCTGTTCAGCAAATGAAGGCCCTGGAAGCTTTGCTCCATCTATGTCATTAAGGTCAACACTACTTTGTGGAGACAACTCTTTCCTAATATTTTGAGTGCCTTCCAACCTGAACAGCTTGTCTTCCAGCATGATATCACACATATGTTCCATTGCTAAACATTCAAAAGTGGTCTGCCTCTCCTTCTTCCTAGTCTGCCTTAGTCTGTAAACGCCATTGAAACCTGTCCATCATGGGTGACCCTGCTGGTATTTAAAATACTGGTGGCATAGCTTCCAGCATCACAACACATAAGCCACCACAGTAGGACAAACTGATAGATGAGTGGTAGAGCCACACCTAGAAGTCTCAATAAAAAAATATATTTTAAGATTACTAATTAATCCCAAGAGGTAGACTAACTCCCTATGTATTCTTTCCAGTATAGACCACAGCTGAGTCATTTTCATACAGAGTTGAATGCCAGGTAAGCCAGACATGACATTTAACTAAAATTTGTTGATTTCTAAATTGCTAACCATGACTCTTATACACTAATCTTTAATCCCATTTCTGGACTTTTACATTAATCTCCAACCTGTGGGCTAAATGACACTTTACATTCCCTCCTGAGATAGGTGAAAGAAAAAAAAAAAAAAAATGAAGACGGCAGTATACACAGTTGGGAGAAAAAACAAATCTCAATAATGCACATGCACGTTATTTACAAACTCTAAAGTACTACATAATTTCTCTCTCTTTTCTCTCCCTTTCTGTAATGTTTGGTGTGGCGCTGTGGGTTAATGAGCTGGGCAGCAAAGTCGATTTGAACTGCAAGGTCAGTAGTTCAAGCTCACCAGTTTCTCCTTGAAAACTCTATAGAGGGTCGCTATGAGTCAGAGCGGACTCGATGGCACTTAACAACAATATATGTTTGATGGACTTCTGGTGTGGCGCTGTAGTATCAACACTGGACTGCGAACCACAAGGTAGACGTTTCAAACCCACCAGCGGTTATTTGGAAACCCTATATGGGGTCGCTATGAGTGGGAACTGACTGCAAGGCACTTGTTGTTGTTACGTACTGTGGAGTCGGTTCCGACTCATAGCGAGCCTGAACAGAGTTTCCGAGGCTGTAAATCTTTACAGGAGCAGAAAGCCTCATCTTTCTCCCGCGAAACAGCTGGTAGTTTCAAACTGCTGACCTTGTGTGGTTCACAGCCCGATTCGTAACCACTATGCTACCAGAGCTCCTTCTATCAGAGGTTACTTACCAATAAATAGTTGGTAAATGATGGTAACTCCATCCTGTGTGTAGCTAAATCCAGACTTTTTAAAAATTGGAATGCAATTAGGATGGGCAGTGTTTTGGAAGGGTCTTTTGTTCCCGGGTGAACAAACCGAGCAGCTGGGGGGTTCTGAGGGGTATGTGTGGCTTTCCACACTGTCCGAAAAGGTTCTGGGAAGAGGTAGACTCTTATTAGGTGCTGTCCAAGTAGGTTCCGACTCAGAGAGACCCCATGAATAATAGATGGAAGCAGTGTGGGGTCCGGCTTCATCACAATCACCGCCATACTTGAACCTACTGTTTGTTGCAGCCACTGTGTCAAGCCATCTCACGGACAGTCTTCGTCATTTTCCCTGGTGACGGAGAATGTGAATAAACTCGACAGGTGAGCTCTGAACTGTGGGAGTCTCCCCACACCGCCCTGGATGTTGTCCCCACGCCGCTGGCCAGGGCATCTCCTAGCACCTCAAACATCTTGAGTGACTTCCTTTAACTAGGGTTTAGATTTCATTCGATGGCTCTCTCCGCCGGGATGAAACTTCCTTAGCACCGCAAGTCGCCCTCCAGGCCATGTGGGGGCGCGGTAGGAAACACAGGACCGTGTGTGGGACCGAAGCCGCACCCCACTGCCGGGTCCGTCGACAAGCCTTACCGGAAGTGACGTTCCTTCCTCACACGTGCTTTCATGCCTGACAGCGGAAGTAGGACACGCCACTGTTTTCTCGTGAAATTGTCTGCGGGTTTCTGATTGTGGACTCCCAGCAGCGGACATGGCGCACTATAATTTCAAGAAGATTATGGTGGTTCCATCCGCCAAGGTAAACGGCTCCGATCTCTCTGTGGATGGTCTTTTCCTCTTGCCCTTCTCTTTGACTGAGCCGCTGAAGAGGACCCAGTGTTGGTGACACGTGTGATTCAGGGCACGGGTTGGAGGGGGCCAGGGGAGCTCTGCCGATTTCTTGATCCGCGTCTCGTGGTGTTTCTGGACACAGCCCGCGGCGCGGGATCCGCGCTCTGGGAAGAGGGACCTGCTGCCCTCCTGGCTGGTTTCTTCTGTAAGCGCTGTGGAGAGGAGTGCAGTACCCTCTTGTCATTTCTAGGCCAGATGCTCTCGAGATCAGGGTCCCTCGCTGTCTTAGGGTCCCTGGTCCCTGGAACAGACGGTTGTAACTTAGTTAATTGGATTGGGTGAGGCTGGATGGTGGTACACGTATCCGAGGAAGGAAGCTCAAGCCGTAAGCCTTCATCCAAGACTCGATTTATCCGAGGCCCTACAAGCCAGACCAAATAAAACGCTGGCTTTCTGATTCAGAGTTCAGCATCGTTTTCCCCTGGCCTCTCAGCAAGTTTTGGTTCATTGCTCTCGTGGCTGAATGCTTTTTTATTTTAAACCCACACTCTTTCACTGTTGGATTTGGGAAACTGTTTGTTTTTCCTGACAACAGAGTAAACACGACCAGGCTAAATTTGTGTAGGATTAGATTTAGCAAGAATGAATCCAAAAAGCGTTGAGTATTAACTAGTTTTCCAAAGTTGAGGCTGTATGTAGTAAATGTTCAGTATGATTTGTGATTGCCTAGATTAAAGCATTAATTAAGGATCGTTTGTTCCTTATGCCCATGCCTCAATGTTGCACAAGAGGGTAGATTTCTAGAAGGAATTACTGACATTGTTAAAACTCGCTGCAGTGCCAACAAGTGCTTGTCGGTGTTTCATTTTCCTCTTCAAGTCTCACAGTAGTTAGCTTGACTTGGAAAGCCTTGTTCAGCATTAGTATTCTTAGATTCAGAACAATTAAATGATCTCATTACTTTTTGTCTACCACATCTCTCTTTTTCTGATAATTTGTGGCAAATCTTGCTGGATTGCAATACTTTGTACGGGTCATACTTTATTTGTATTTTTGACTAAGGTTACTTTCTCAACTGTCTCTCCAGTTGGCTAAATGAATTCTTCACTTCTGTGTAAACATGGCATGCACAAAGTTTTGGCTTTATAAGGAATAGAGCTTTTTGAACCATATGAATTTTGTTCACATGATTGATCTTAGAGACTTTTAAAAACACGTTAGCACAACATCGTATCTTTTGTTATCTAGAGAACAGATAAATTCATGTTTAAAGATGGGTGGTAGTAATTATTTGGTGACTGGACTTAAAGAATGTTGTTGTTTTCTGCCATTGAGTTGTTTCTGACCTATAGTGACCCTGTATAGGGTTTCCAAGAGCAGCTGGTGAGTTTGAACTACCAACCTTTTGGTTAGCAGGCAAGTGTGTTTCCTACAATGCCTCACCAGACCCCGAATTGTTTTAAGTTCCTTCCAGTCGGTTTTGACTCGTAGAGACCCTGACAAAAGGAGAAGCTGGTAAGATTGAACTGCCAACCTTGTAATCCAAACCAGCCTTGAGGTGGAGCACTTATCCTGTGGTGCCAAACCAGGATTAAAGGATAACATCAGGAAAACAGGGATAAAATGCATTCTAAAAGCTCTTCCTGTTCAGGGTTTCTGAGGCTGTAAATCTTTACGGGAGCAGAAAGTCTCATCTTTCTTCTGTGGAGCGGCTGGTAGTTTTGAACTGCTGACTCTAAAAGCTCTTTAGTGAGTGACTGTCATATGTAGGTTATTGTGGTTTCAGAAAGAATAAGATACTGTCCTTGTACTTTTTGAAAGTTCTCTAAACGTAAGTTGACATACTTATGAAAGCTAGTGAATGAAGGAATACAGGTGCATGGATTTGGAGGAACAGAAGAGTGCATTTAGTTATGGTGGATTGGAGAGTCATGGAAAATGTTATGAAGTATGTAACTTTTGAACTGACCTGTAAAGATCAGTAGAATCTACTAGATGGAGAAGGTTGTAGAGAAAAATCTCAAGCACAGAAGTATGGGTGGGGGTGCTTTTTTATGCCCACTCCTGTGTCCCTCACAGTACTTATTTTTGTGACTGCTTGTTTACTTGTCTCTGTACCACTGCACCCTGAATTCCTTAGGCCAGGGGTGGGGAGCCTTTTTGCTGCCAAAATTTGTGACATCATTCACAGGCCATATAAAATTATCAGCTGAAAAATTAGCCTGCTATATTTGGTCAATCATTCAATTAACTCTCTGGTAACGTAGTGGTTACGAGTCAGGCTGCCAACCACAACGTTAGGAGTTCAAAAACTACCAGCAGTTCCACGGGAGAAAAATGAGGCGTTCTGCTCCCTTAAAGATTTACAGCCTCGGAAACCCTGTGCAGGGTCATTATGAGTCTGAACCACGGTACTTAACAACAACAATGATTCCTGGTGTGGCACCATGGGTTAACGCACTGGACTGCAAAGTCAGCTTGAACTACAAGGCTAGTGGTTCAACCTCACCAGCTGCTCCTTGGAAACTATATACTTAGTTGCTATGGGTCAGAACTGACTCAGAGGCACTTAACAACAACACAACAATGATTCCTGGTGTGGCTTTGTGGGTTAATGCAGTCCAGAGTCGGTTTGAGGTTTGAAGGTTTGAGGTTTGAAACCGCAAGGTTGGCAATCAAGCTCACCAGGTGTTCCTAGGAAACCCTATACAGGGTCACTATGAATGGAACTGATTCAAGGACACTTAACAATAATGACAGTGTGATGGCTGGCGTCCTGTTGTGGTGCTTTGGATTAATGTCCTGGGCTGTTAGATTGGATTAAACTGTAAGATCAGTGGTTTGAGCTCACCCATCACTGCTTGGAAACCCTATACAGGGTCTCGGTGAGTTGGAACCGAGTTTACAATAACACTGTGATAGCTGGAACTGTAGTTGCCTTGCCAGGGCCAGACTAAATGATTTTGCATGCCTTACCAACTCTTCGGCACTTAACAACATCTAGGTTTTGGCTCTGAAGGAACACCTTAAATTTATTTTTTCCATACTTTCTTGATGCTATTTGAACTTCCAAAAACTTATGAAGCAATGAAACTTAAATAGTCAAACACTTCAAGCATAAATTAGAAAAAATATTAAAGACAAAACAAACTCTACATTTCCAATTTTTATATCTTTATGTATGAAATTGTTTTTAAGTGCTATTGAGTCAGTTCCAACTCACAGCAACCCTGTATAGGGTTTCCAAAGAGCAGCAGATGGGTTTGAACCGCTGACCTTGTGGTCCAGTGTACTATCTTGCACTACCACACAGAAGAAGATAAATTAAGTTGTATATAAAAGATTAAAGATTTAGTTAACACTAGTAAAAGATACACAATGGTTATGTGCACAGTTGCTAACTGAAATGTTGGTTGGTTCGACTGGCCACTTAGTGGGAGAAAGATGTGGCAGTCTGCTCTGTAAAAAATTGTACAGCCTTGGAGACTCTGGGACAGTTCTAGTCTGTGCTGTAAGGTACCTATGAATTGGAATTGACTTGAGGGCAAGGGAGAATGGATAGCAATAGTAAATGTTTGTTGTTAATATGAGTGGACTTCAGAAAATTATGGGAAAATATAATTAAAAGATAATAGAATTTTTTCATAAACTTTTTGAAGCCCCCTCATACAAATAATACTAGTAATTGTATTAGTCTTTTAAAGTTTTAACTAAGTGGATGAAAAGTATATGTTTTGATACAACTAAGACTTACTTTCTTTAATTATAGGACTTTATTGATCTGACATTATCGAAGACTCAACGAAAGACTCCAACAGTTATTCATAAACATTACCAAATTCATCGCATTAGACATTTTTACATGAGGAAAATCAAATTTACTCAACAGAATTACCATGACAGACTCTCTCAGATTTTAACAGATTTCCCCAAATTGGATGTAAGTGACACTGTGGAAAATTTTTTTTAATGTATGGTGTGTATGCAAGTGTGGTCTTACAAAACCTCCAATTAACCAGTGTTTAAGTAGTTTCGTTCATTAATGTTAGAGAAAATGAGGAACAAAGATAACTGACTTGCCAAAGGAAGTGGTGGAGGTAGGAACAGAATTGAGACTTAAAATTTATTGCTGTTTTTCCTTTACCCCAATCAAAACCCATATAAAAGCCCCCAAAGCTGTCTTATCAGGTTTTCTTTGCAACATTCAGACTTGGAGGAACAAGCTCAAGTTATTTGTAAACTATGGATTATAATTTCATCAATCCTCTGTCAGCTCCTGCTCGTCTGGACTTCATTTCCTCTTCCTTCTTTTGGAGGCTTCTCTTTGCTGGGTCTCAAATGCATGCCTGAGACCTACCAATGTTTGTGATCTTTGCTTGTCATCAGTAAGAAGAAGAAGAAGAAAGCTCACCACTACCATATTTCTTCACATGGGAGCTTAGACTTCTGTATTAAGCCAAATACAAAAAAAACAATGGAGAAAGAGCTAAACTTAATATGCAATTCTGCTGTATATTTGTCTTTTATTTAACTATAGAAAAAGAGCAGAAACTACTTGGCTTATAGTCTGTTAACAGAGTTTAAAACAAAACTTTGAACTTAGTCATGGCTGATGAAATGAAATTGGAACAGACTTGAATTTTTTAAAATTTGTGTGATCAGGAATGATAACCATAGTGGGGGAAATTTCAGGTTGAAGCCCGGGAGTAGGAGACTTGAGAGAGAGAGGCGTGGTGAAGTGAGCGCTTTCAGGAGTCTGATACATGAGACTAAGTTATTTGCAGGACTGTGGAGGGCTGCACTGCTTAAAGAAGTGTGGTGGGCTGCCATCTTTGAGCAAATCCCACAGACAAGCGATTTGGTTGCCTTGCAACATATAAACTTCTCTTGTTTTCTAAGAGGGAGACCGTATTTCTAGCAGGGCTTTCACTGGTAATTTTTATTGTTCTGGTTCACACAAATTTTAAAAATTTGGGTTTGTTCCAGTTTTGTTTTCTTGGCCACGAACTGGGAAAAAGTGACTCAGAGCCCTGGGTTAAAAAATATCCTTGTGTTGTGCTCTTGTGGCTGCAGTGTTCTTACAGGGTTTGAAACGACGATTGGGGTCAGCAATACATTGTTGAACTTAAATTTGTCATTACTCTAAATTTAAACCAAAGGTACGTAAAGGTATAGAGAAATTGTTTTTATATTTCAACATATAATGCCTTATTTTAAAAAAATACAGACATATTTGAAAAGTAAAAATTCCTGCTAGACATCAGTCACTTTATATCTTCTCTAGAGTTTACTGTGGTGTGCTTGGTAAATACTTGTTGAATGAATGTATAATTTCTTAGGAAAAAGTAAGTACCAAAAATACCTGAAGATGTAAAAGAGAAAAAAAAATAATGATTTGATCATAGAAGATACCTGATTTTAGCTAGAAAACAAATTGTGGTTCTTTCCTTTGTGCTAAGTTTCAGCCAGCTCATCTTTGGTATTGATTTTTCTACATTAGAGGTTGTTGTTGTTGTTAAGTGCCATCGAGTTGTTTCCGACCCATGTTGTTGTTGTTGTTACATGCCGTCGAGTCGGTTCCGACCCATAGCGACCCTGTACAGGGTTTCCGAGGGTGTAAATCCTTACGGGAGTAGAAAGCCTCATCTTTCTCCCGCGGAGCAGCTGGTAGTTTCGAACCGCTGACCTTTAGGTTCGCAGCCCGATTCGTAACCACTACGCTACCAGACCCTGTATAGGGTTTCTGAGGAGTGACTGGTGAGCTTGAAATGCTGACCTTGGGCTCAAATTTATTAACAGTCTAGAACTGTTTTTTCAAACTGAGAGTTGGCTGAGAATAATCTTAATGGATGGAGGATTAGATTGCATTATCATTCACTGAATGCTTATTATGTGTTTACTGTTCTAGACAGAAGAGTTCTAGTATGGTACTGTAGGATAAGCACTGGACTGCTAACCTCGAGGTTGGTGGTTCAAACCCACCAGCCACTCCTTGGAAACTTTATACAGGGCTGCTGTGAGTCAGAACTGGCTTAAGAGCAACAACAATTCTAGGCAGAAGGAGTGCAACAGTGAATCAAAAGTCCTTATTCTGGTTCTGGAGTCCTGGTGTGGAGCTGTAGAATACAAGAGGACTTCAAACATTTGTGGGAAAATGGAATTGAAAGACAATGGGATTTTTCCATGAACTTTTTGAATCCCCTTCATATTGGGTGTCAGATGAGGAAAATCAGACTAACAAGTAGGGTAGGGAGTGCCAGTGCAGTGGAATTGTTTGATAAGGGGACGTTGGAACACAGACCTGATGGAAGTGAGCTAGTGCGTTATATGAATACCTGGGGAAATAACATTATAAGCAAAGAAGCAGCCAATGCAAGAAGTCCTGAGGTCAAGAGTATGACGTGTTTGAGGACTAAAGAGACCCAGGTTCTGAATCATAGTCTGTGACAAGAACCCAAGTGGGAGATGGGTTCAGAGAGGTAATGGGGTGTAGGACTTTGAGTTTTATTCTTAAGGAAGTCATGGGAAGGTTTTGAGCACAGTAGTGACATGACATTCTTTGACTTTACCTTTGACTAGCTGCATGAAGAAGTGAAAATTCCATATTTCCGTAAGTGGAAAGAAAATTCCTCTGGGGAACTCTCATATGTGGAGTTGGAGATGTGAGGAGGAACTGGCAAAGGAATTTGAAAGGTGGTTAGTTAGAGAGGAGAGCCACACAGATGAGGGTCCTGGAAGTTGAATAAAATGCTTCAAGGATGGAGTGACCAACCTTCCAGTGCTGGTTAGAGAGCTAGCAAGGTAAAAAAAAAAAAAAACTAAGAATTGGTTATCAGCAAGGTCATTGGTGACTTTGATATGTTTTTATGATAGAGACAAAATTCTGTTTAGAGTTTGGTTCAAGAGATTAGGAGGGAAACAATGGTATCAGTACTCCTTTTCTTAGAGCTTTTCAATACAGCAAGCAAAGAAGTACAGAGAATTTGAGAAATATCATGTTTGTAGATTGGTGGGGACTGTCCAGTAGAGATGGAAGAATTCAACATGAAGCAGATGGGAGGATTTCTGAGTTTTTGAGACTTAAAGGATGTGGTCTAGTGCATTAGTCCCATTAAACAAGAGAAGGAGGATTGGGAAGAGCATGCTGGAGGTTTAAGGAGAGGCAAGGGCGGGAAATTACTCCACAAATACTGTTTACATACAAGGGTGAGAAACTTGGAACAAAATGACAGCTTTGTTTTTTATTTTAGGATATCCATCCATTTTATGCTGATTTGATGAATATTCTCTATGACAAAGATCATTACAAGTTGGCTCTAGGACAAGTAAATATTGCCAAAAATTTAGTGGACAAGTAAGACCTTTTTTAAAAATACTGTCTTTTAAGTTATTTCAAAAGTGGGGAAAACATTTAAGTATTGGGTTTTTTTTGTTGTTTTTAAGTGTTGCCAAAGATTATGTACGTCTTATGAAATACGGAGATTCTCTGTACCGCTGCAAACAGCTGAAACGTGCTGCCCTTGGACGGATGTGTACTATTATCAAAAGACAGAAACAGAGCTTGGAATACTTGGAGCAAGGTATTAATTAGACATAAGCAAAAATGGTTTTTAGTATACTCTATAACCACCACCACAGTAAGATGTTTGGAGCCCTGGTATGGCGCTGTAGGATAAGCACTGAACTGCTAACTGCAAGGTCGATAGTTCAAACCCACCAACTACTCCTCAGAAAGCCCATTCAGGGTCGCTATGAGTCAGAGCCGACTCAATGGCACTTAGCAACAACAGTAAGACACTTGATCCTTGCTGAGAATTTTTTTTTTTTTCCTTTTGAAGTCCTGATGGAAGAAGTTACACCTTTGTACATTTGCATCCTAATTGTTTTTTCTTTTTTTTTTAGTTTAAAATATTTTATTGTGGTAAACATTTGTTCTTAGGTGCCTTCAAGTTGGTACCAACTCATAGTGACATACAACATAAAATTTGTCATTTTGACCATTTTTACATAAAAATGTATCACTTAGTCTGGCAATTCCTTGAATAAATAATTCATTGCAGTTAATTATATTCAGTATTGGACAACTATCACCGCTGTTTTCAGAACTCTTTTATCCCAAACAAACTTTGTACCTATTATGCAATAACACCCCATTTTCCTCACTCCTGTTCTCCTCTAAGCTACTTTCCATCTCTATAAACGTGTCATAGTACATTTTAGGTAAGTGAGCTCATACCATATTCTTTTGTTTTTGGTTTGTTTCACTTAGCATAAAGTATTCAAAGTTCATCCATGTCGTAATACAGAGGAATGGAAATGCATGGTCATGTGCTAATTCCACTCCTTTGTATTAGAATCAGAAGACTTGAAAGCAAGGATTCAAGCATATTTGTGCACCACTACTGCAACATTGGAGTCCTGGTGTGGTGCTGTAAGATAAGCACTGGATCTCAAGGTGGATTTGAACTGCAAGGTCAACGGTTCAAACTTAACAGCCGCTCCTCAGAAATCCTCTGTAGGGTCGCAACTGACTTGAGAACATTTAACAACAACCACAACATACATATTATTCAGAAGGACTGCCTTTGACCTATTGAATCAGAATAGTAGGTTTGGTGGTGGCTGTTAAGTGCCATCAAGTCAGTTCTGATTCATAGTGACCCTGTATAGAGTTTCCAAGGACCACTTACCTTGTGGTTAGCAGTCCAGTGCTTATCCTGCAGCTGCACACCAGGACTCCATAGGTTTGGTTTGTTATTGTTAGATCCCAATGAGTCAGTTCCAACTCACAGTCACCCTGTGTAGGGTTTACAAATAACAGCTGGTGGGTTTGAACTACCAACCTTGCTGTTAGCAGGCCAGTGCTTATCCTACAGCGCCACACCAGGACTTCAACAGGTTTGATAGGGACTAGGAAAAGAAACCCGAGTGTTAGAGTGGTTAAGTGTTCGGCTTCTAAACACAAGGTGGCGATTCAAACCTACTAGTAGCTTTATGGGAGAAAAAAACCTGGCGGTCAGCTCTCATAAAGATTTCAGCTGATGGGGCAGTTTTAGTATCTTACAGTGTGACTGTGAGTTGTAATTACTTCAACGGCACACAGCAACAAGGACCTAGAAATGTGTTTCTCTGATACACTCTGATTTGGGAAACCTTATTCTGCATTCCAGAGTCCTGTTGTGGTGCTTTGGGTTAACGTGCTGGATTGCAAAGTCAGTTTGAACCTCAAGGTTGGTGGTTCAAGCTCACCAGCCGCTCCTCAGAAACCTTTTTACAGGGTCGCTATGGGTCGGAATCGACTTGACAACACTTAACAACAACAACAACATTCTGTATACCATGTTGATTTTCAGCTAATCCTATTTTCATTAGCTTGTATTTTCTCCATTTTATAACCAGTGTGGAAAGAATTAATACAACTATGGGCCAGGAGTAGTCCTGGTGTTGCACTGTAAGATAAGCACTGGACTGTTAACCAAAGGTTGTCAATTCAAACCCGCCATCTACATGCAGAAATCTTATACAAGGTCACTATGAGGCAGAACTGACTCTACAGCACTTAATGATAACAACATGGACCTGGAATATAATTAATTCTAAAGGAATATTTTAAGCTCATCTTTACCTGAGTCTCTTAAGTTTTCTTATAAAACTAAAGACATGAATTTAAACTTTTCATAGTGCGTCAGCATTTATCCCGTTTGCCAACCATTGATCCGAATACCAGAACTCTGCTTTTGTGTGGGTACCCAAATGTTGGAAAATCCAGTTTCATCAATAAGGTTTGTCAGAGTTTTGTTTTGTTTTGTTTCTTGTAACTTTTTATTGTGAATTGAGTGAAGGTTTATAGACATGATCATCAATTTTACATTCAATAAATCATATACTTTGTTTCATCTCATTGATTGTAATTCCATCCTGCTTAGGTTGGTTAAAGCTGGGTGTTGGGGATTTAGAATGATTTAGGTAATATTTTTGGCACTTTGCATTATCCTAATCTACAGTAGAATTGTACTGAAAGTATTTGATTTAGGCAGGATTGGCTATTTTTCTGAACTTAAATTTATATTGTTGTTGTTAAGTGCCGTCGAGTTGACTCCGACCCATAGCGACCCTGTATAGGGTTTCCGAGGAGCAACTGGTGAACTTGAACTGTCATTCTTGCGGTTCAAATGGCTTTGCAGTCTGACGCATTAACCCACAGCGCCACATTTTATTTTTGTTCTTGTGTATGTCATAAATGTCTAAGGAATTTGAGATATTTAAATATCATTATTTCAAAGTAGAGAGCTTTTCAAAGTATATGTTAACCCAGCATGTTATGGGAATGTTTTGCAGACTGCACTTACTGGGTTGGAGTCTCCCAGTCTAAAGGTGTTTATTGGTTGATTTGTTATGTTGGTTGCTATTTTAACTTTCACTTAAACTATTTGGTCCACTATAGTGGTAAGCTGCCTAGTCATGCACTGTTTCCCTCAGGGAGTTCATTCGTAATTGGGATGTGGAGAAAATGGAAGCTTGTGCATTAATATTTAAGTAATTCAATAATTTCTGGCTTTGGGACAATTTTGCAGAGCTTAGGGGGCCTGAAAGGAGTAGATTCAGAATCTGAAATGTGGGCTCAAAACCAACAATAGCACAGGTACCAAAATACTGTGTAATGCCAAGAAGACTAGCTTTTAGGCAGATTTATGCATTTTTATTTGATCTGAAAGTTGCCATGACATGGTGATAAGCCATGTCTGTGGTATCAAGTCTTTTAAATACATTTTCAAATAACATTTGAGCATATTGAGAACCTACCATACCGGGATAGTGTTGTGTAGTCTAATAGAGTAGCCACCCACCCATGTAGGTTTTTCATTTTTAATTAGTTAAAATTAAAAATTCCGTTTCTCAGTCACACTACCACTTATCAAGAGTTCATTAGCAACACGTGGCTAATGGTGGATTATGCAGGTTTGGAACATCTCCATTATAGAAAATTCTATTGGATGTTGCTAGGATAGTAGTATACGAACTGGGAGAATTAGGAGAGAAGGGTTTCTGAGTTTTAGTTATGGACAATGATGGATGCCCTCTGAATGATTCATGTTCTTGTATGGGACAGGTGGTATGAGGAAAACAGAAATAATCTACTTGTAAAAGTTTGGTAACTCCTTTTTAACACAGTTTAATTCTATGAGGTCTCTCTCTTTTTTTTTTTTTCCTCCTACCAAAAAATATGAGTTGATAATATAACATGTAGGTGTTTGAAAGAAAACAAAAAGTTGATTTTTTTAAAGATGTAAAACTTATTGGGATTATTGAAATTTTGGTTTTTATGTTTTAAGGTGACAAGAGCCGATGTGGATGTTCAGCCTTATGCCTTTACAACTAAATCTTTGTTTGTTGGGCACATGGATTATAAGTATCTTCGTTGGCAGGTGAGAGTTCTTGCCTTTAGGAAGGATACAAGCCTTTTAATTAATAGAATTGTGTTTTGATGATTTCTGAAGAGATGTGTCCACTTTATAAGTGTACCTAGTCAGTACCAACCTACAGTGACCCTGTATAGAGTTTCTGAGGAGTGACTGATGAGCTTGAACCACCGACCTTGCGGTTCAAATCGACTTTGCAGTCCAGCATATTAACCCACAGAGCTGATCTGTATTTTACTGACTGATTTGTCTGGTCTGGTGTGGCTGTGTGAATACTTCCTGGATGTGTACTGGGCAAGAAGTGTGTAAACAAGTATGCTTTCGAATGATGAAGTGTGGTTTGTAGGTGGTGGACACTCCAGGAATTTTGGACCATCCTCTGGAGGACCGGAACACCATTGAGATGCAGGCCATCACGGCCCTGGCCCACCTACGTGCCGCTGTCCTGTATGTAATGGATCTGTCTGAGCAGTGTGGGCATGGATTAAAGGAGCAACTCGAACTCTTCCAAAACATTAAGCCTCTCTTTATCAATAAGGTAAGAGTGATAGCTAGTGCTTCAGTTTATATACTACACTAGGAAGATAATAATTTTCTTCTTCTTCTTCCTTGCTAGCCACTTATAGTTGTAGCAAACAAATGTGATGTGAAGAGAATAGCTGAACTTTGTGAAGACGATCAGGTAAATCACTTAAATTGTTTTGTAAGAATTTCATTGCTATTTACTTATTAATTCCAGATCTCATTCTTAGACAAAAGTATAGAAGGAATGTTCGTAATCTACAGTTTTTCATTTTACAGTTAACATAACGGCTTTGTTGTAGTGCCACATTAGGTTTAGGCATGTTCAAGCCCCAGTTTTACCACTTACTAGTTGTATGATAGGGAAGTTAGTTAACGTCTACGGATCTCAGTTTCTTTGCATAAAAAATGGAGGGCACTACCTATATGATAGTGTTTGGGGGAAGATTTTATGAAATTGGAAAACGCCTAGGTAATGGTAGCTAGTAAACTGTTACTCAGGAGCCCTCGTGGCATGGTGGTTAAGCTCTTAGCTGCTAACTGAAAGTTTGGTGGTTTAAACCCATCCGTCTCTTTTGGAAACAGACCTGGCTGTTAGGTCCCCTAAAGATTACAGCCAAGAAAACCCCATTGGGCTGTTCTTTGTCACATAGGATTGCTGTGAGTTGGAACTGACTTGACAGAACTTAAATCAGCCTCAAATTAGTATTTAGTTAGTAATTTATACTGCTGCTTTTTTTTTTTTTCTTCTGTCAAAAGTTCTGGTGGCACAGAAGTTAAACACTGTGGCTAACCAGAAGGTTGATGGTTTGAGCCCACCAGCTGTTCCATGGGAGAAACTTGTGACAATTGGCTTCCTTAAAAATTACAGCCTTGGAAACCCCATGGGGCAGTTCTGCTGTGTCCTATATAGGGTTACTGTTAGTCAGAATAGACCCGATAGTAACAGGCAACTTTATCAAAGCAGTGCTGGAAAGTTGATATTAACCTCTTTACATGTGGCAAGTGTTTATCATGTGCACTGTGTCACTCACGGTCACATTTCTAAATTGGCAAGTTAACCCCCTGTAATAGTGGAAATAGTTCTTGTTCAGAAGCAATTTAAATAAACATGATAGGATTGGTCACACTGCACCTAATGCATAATCAGAAGTAGACTTAGATGTAAATTTCACATTGTGTTAATCTTGATAAAAGAACATACATTCTCTTAGAATCCAAAGTGTCTACATTCATAAATATTTTTCTAATGTTTTCTAAAAACATAACATTACAAACTTTGTATAATCTTGAATTTACCTAAATTTTTCTCTTGGAGGGTGAGATTTTACAGAACCTTGGAATTTGTTGTAGTCTGTTTTGATGCTCCTAATGATTTGTATTTTATTAATCATGGAAGAATACAGAAAACCAAAAACAACCTTTTAAGAGATTTCTGTTCTTCAAAAGAGTTTAAAATGACAGGCATTGAACAATAAGCATTTGCAGTATCCTTTTGAGAAACAGTAAATAAATAATGCATTTCTTAATTTTCCTTTGTGTTCCCAGAAAATATTTGTAGATTTGCAGACCGAAGGATTTCCTGTAATAGAGACCAGCACTCTGACTGAGGAAGGTGTTATTAAGGTTAAGACAGAGGTCAGTGCTTCCTTGATGCCAGAGATCAATACTTGTACTGTCTCTCTCTTGTTTCAGAACCATCAGTCATGGGAAATCACCATGTCTTTCTAGGTAGTGGCAGTACTGTGAATGCTCATACTAACCAGTTAGTGCACTGGTGAATAAGGTGCTGTTTGAGCCCCTTCACTAGGGCTTCTCCCTCAGCCCCGGCACAATGATGGGACTTTGAAGAGATAGCTTATGTTAGGGTTGAATTGTATCCCCCTAAAATCCTGGTGTGGTGCTGTAGTATAAGCATTGCACTGCTAACCCCAAGGTTGGCAGTCCAAACCCACTAGCAGTTCCTTGGATACGCTGTACAGAGTGGCTTTGAGTCAGTACCTACTTGATGACACTTAATAACAGCAACAAAGTATGTATTGTGATTCTTTACCTTTAGGCTTGTGCATGGAATCTTGATGTGGCTCTATAGGATAAGCACTAAATTGCTAACCACAAGGTCGACAGTTCAGACCCACAAGCTACTCTCACTATAAGTCAAAACTGACTTTGCAACACTTAGCAACAACATATTTGTGCATGTAATCAAGCCTTTTTGAGAATAAGGTCTTCTTACAGCGATGAAGCCGTATCAGTGTAGGATGTATCATAAGCCTCACCTTTGAGACCTAAACCGAGCTGATTTAGACAGGGATCAGGGATGGAGAGACTAGACACGGTGCCCCATGAACACTACCTTGGAGCCCAAGAATAAGCTTTCCACAGAGCCAGCTTCCCCGGAAGCTCCCTGGATTCAGATTTTTAGCCTCCTAAACTATGGGAGTCCTGGTATGGTGCTACAGGTCAATGAACTGGACTGCAGGGTCATGGTTCAAGCTCACCAGTTGCTCCTTGGAAACCCTGTACAAGGTTGCTATGAGTCGGAACTGATTCAATGACATTTAACAACAACGAAATACGGGAATCTTGGTGTGGCACTGTAGGATAAACACTGAACAGGTAACCGTAAAAAAGTTGGCAGCTCAGACTCACCAACTGCTCTCAAAATAGTATATAGGATTGCTTTGAGTCAGAAGTGACTTGAGGGCACACAACAACAAGCTACGAGGTGGGGGGTACAGTGGCTCTGTAGGATAAGTCCTGGACTGCAAACGCAAGCTGTACAATGGGGTAAATGAGATTTTCTGCAGAAACCCTATGCAGGGTTGCTATGAGTCAGAACTGACTAGACAGCATTTAACAACAAAAATTAGGAGGAAATAAATTTGTTTGTTAAAGCCACCTACATATTTGTGGCATTTCTGTGGAGCCCTGGTGTAGGATAAGCTCTGGACTTGCTAACCACAAGCTTGGTATTTCAAAACCCACAGCCACTCCTCAGGAAAAAGATGAGGCTTTCTGCTCCCATAAAGATTTACCACCTCAGAAACTCGTTACAGAGTTGCTATGTGTGGAAACTGACTCAAGGACACCTAATAACAAACATCAGATAATTAAGACTGTTTATAATTCCAACCATAGGTCATTTTAACTTATGTGACTACCTATACCTCTTGGCCTACTAGCATTTCTGTAGAAGCTATTGTTAAAAGTGCATTTATGGAACCTGTTATGAAGCAGAAGGGGAAAAAATAGAATGAAAAGTAGGAACAGCTCGGGGGAAACCGGTTTTTGTTAAGATTTTAATGTTGTAACCTTCATTATGTTATTTTCCCTGAAATAAAGATCAACTTTGATGTTGCTGAAAGAGTTCTGGTAGCATAGTGGTTACTAATCGAGCTGCTAACCTCAGGGTCAGCGGGAGAAAGATGAGGCTTTCTAAAGATTTACAGCCTTAGAAAACTTGTACAGGGTCACTATGAGTCAGAACTGACTTCCACGGCACATAATAACAGTAGCACATGATGTTATTGATTTTACTAGGAGGTTAGTTTCTCAAGTTATAGACATGAAGTGAAAATGGCATAAAGTTAAAAATATTTTTTAAAGGCAGACCCAGGACACAGAGTCCGGAAGAGGGTCTTGAATGTTGGAAGGAAGATTCAGAATAGGGTGTGGGAGTAGGTTAAAGGTGAATTTTGCCATTGAACTTACTCAGAATTTTGTCTAAGGATGGCCCTCAGCCTGAAAAAGAGAACAAAGCTTCTTCCTCTTTATATGAGTGCTACAGAATTAGTGAGACTTTTTGAGCGGTACCTGAGAGTGCAGCTTCCGTATGTTGGGAATTAATAAGGGAAACACCCAAGTCTCAGAGATGCACACAAACCGATCTTTGAATCATAATCTTCTGGTTAGCTGGGACTCTGATTCTTGATTCGTTTCTGTTTAACCAGTGACTGTAGTACTGTGCCTTTTTGAATTTGTGTCCTTTGTTTTATACATTACTAGGCCTGTGATAGGCTATTGGCTCATCGAGTTGAAACCAAAATGAAAGGCAATAAAGTGAATGAGGTGCTGAACAGATTGCATTTAGCTGTACCAAACAAAAGAGATGATAAGGTAAGACCACCCTTTCAAAATACCTCTGAAATAAGATCTTTGCGTTACTGGTACAGAATCAATATGTGCTATTTGCATGTTTTTGTCTCAGTGGTTACAAATCCAGTTAAGCACTAATACACACATGGATTTTATAAATGGCTTTAAGTCTTTACTCATAATGGAAATTATACATGTATGTGATAGAGAATTGAAAAGATAAGCAAGAGTATAAAGTGTTAAATTTAAAATCTGCAGTCACTTCCTGTCAGTTACTGTTAATTCTGCCTTGTTTATCCTTCCTCAACTTTGTATGAGAGATACAGAGATAGCTGCCAACTCATGGCAGCCTTTGTACAAAAAAACCGAAACATTGTCTGCACCAGCGTCATCATCCCAGCTGGCATGTTTGAGCCCATCGTGGCAACTATTGTGCCCCTCATCCCACTGTGGCTCTCCCGTTCCTTCTCCCTGACCCTCTGCTCCACCAGACATCATATGATTCATGCTTCTTGATGGTGTGTCCAAAGCAAGCACATTGGAAACTGTCCTATACTACCTAAAGCTAATCTTTGGAAGTACAGTGTCAGGCCTTTCTTCCTACTCTTAATCTCTAAGTTCTGTTAAACTCTTTCCACCTGGTGAGATTGATTTTTTTTTTTTTTTTTGATACAAAAATGTATTACATTCTCTCAAAGTTTGCATTTTGCTTCATGTACTCATCTCTACATTAGCACATGAACACCAATTCATTCCTTTTCCTGCATGTTTTATGTTGGTACTACAATCAAGGAGTCCTCATCATTTCTAATTTCTTGCCTTGACAAACAACTGGAGGTGCACATCTTCATATTATTGTTGTTAGGTGCCGTTGAGTTGGTTCTGACTCATAGAGACCCTGTATAGGG